TATTCGGTGATTTTTTTAGATGGAACAGCAACGCCATTCCTCTTATGGTGTTGTATCAAGGATTGCGGTCGGACATGAAGCATCGTGATTGTCTCCGTGGTCCCTCGTGTATTCTGAAGGTAAACGCTTCCTGCGTCGTATACATTATTTACAACCTTTCAGCATGCCTTAATAAATTAGTTTTATCGAATCTCAGAAATTTCCATTGCTAAACAGATTTGAAAGGCGTAGGGAAGAAGTTTTTCACGAAAAAAATGCCCAATCTGTCGTTTACTTCTCAGTGGGCTTAATTCCTAATTGAATCATAATGCAAAGATTATCATTATTTACAATCAAAAATTGATCTTTGCTCTTTATTAGCTTGAATCTTGATTAGAGCAATAAATGGCAAGTTACAAGGTTTTTAACAGGAAAAAAAGTTGTTGTAATCTTTTTCGCTTTTTTTCAGTAGATAAGAAAGGCATTTGAGATCAGTGCTATCAGCATTTCAAAGAGCCTCAAGCAATATACATGTCATTTTGAATGATCTAATCTAATTTTATACAAAATAGAAATAGGAGGTGCTCTTTAAGTGGCATTTTTATTTAACTTTTGCTAGGATGCTTAATAGTTGCCACATGTTAGTACATAGGATTTTGAAGCAAGTGAATCTTTTTTGCAGATAAAGTTTCCACGGTGTGCTTTACATTGATATTTGTAAAGGGTGCAAAAGGAAATTTTTGTGCAAATGCGCATCACACGTGAGTAAGTGGCTAGCATAAAAACAAGCATTGTTTTTGGGCGACGATAAGATTAGCAGTTAATGCCCCGAACCATGAGGGTACGTACTGGTACTAATAAGGCGAAATTGAGAACTACCCCCTCTACCACTTGATATTAAACAAAAGAACGCTTTACTACATGTACGCTCTAAGACAATTAGTCCTCTTTAAATGTTTGAGTCAACCGAACCCACCTCAGCGACAACTTTGTAGTAGCCAGCATGTTCCAATCGTGCCTTTTCAATTACTATAGAATAGGTATCAACGGAGGTAACAATCTTAAAAAAAATATATATATATATATATTTAGAGGATTGATATTGTTTGTAAGCAAAAACAAACCTTAACAAACTTTGACTCTTCACGAATTTCTCTGTCGTTATGGAAGAATCGAACTTTCGGTCGAGGATT